TGCTGGTCATGGGCATGTGTTTCTTTTTCGGCGGTGTCAACCGTCTCGAGCAACATTTCAACCCAGTTGTCGCTCAGACAGCGGCTAGTCTTTTGGCACTGGCGGTGGCCAGTCTGATTATTCCTACCGCGTTCCACGCGTGGTCTGGCGGTGCGTCAATCCGGCCGAAGATTAGGATGATTACTGACTCTTACAGCCGGAACCGCGGGAATCGCCCCCTTGTCGCGAGGTAAGATCGCTGGCAATGTGCAGAGGACTGTCGCTGACAAACGCAGGCACCAGTATCATCTTGCTCTTCGTCTACGGATGCTACCTCTTCTTCCAGCTCAAGTCGCATACCGAGATCTACAACAGACCCAGCCCCAAGGTCGAGAAGCGACGCCAAAAGGTGTCGGAGGGCGATGCCAGTCGCGGCCTGGCCCAGATTGGCAAGATGACGGCCACCATGGGCGGCCAGAACGCACAGCAGATGAAAATCCACGAGGAGGACGACGAGGAACAGCCTCAGCTCAGCACCTGGGTTGCCGTCCTGACGCTGGCCATCTCCACCGCGTTTGTCGCATTGTGCGCTGAATTTATGGTAAGTCTGATGCATCGTTGAGTGTGAGGGCTAGACTGACTGTCCAGGTTGGTTCCATTGACGCTCTTACGGAGCGAGGCGGCATCTCGAAGACATTCGTCGGGCTGATTCTGCTTCCTATCGTGGGTAATGCGGCCGAGCACGCCACGGCGGTGACGGTGGCATGCAAGGACAAGATGGATCTGTCGATTGGAGTGGCTGTGGGATCAAGCATGCAGATAGCTCTGCTGGTTCTACCGCTGATTATTGTGATTGGATGGATTATGGGTAGGTGCTATTCATCGATTACTTTCCTGACCGTGACTGACTGGCAAAGGACTTGAGGAAATGACCTTGTATTTCGATGCGTTCCAAGTGATCCTGCTCTTCGTTTCGGTGTTGCTGGTATGGCTATTCCCCTGTTTTGATCCCGTGTCTTATGACGACGCTAATTCCTTAGGTGAACTATCTCATTGCCGATGGCAAATCGCACTGGCTCGAGGGTGTGCTGCTGATGATGATGTATCTAATTATCGCCGTGGCTGCTTGGTATGTATCCTCCATTATTGCATTGGAACTGCTCGCTGACATGTCTACAGGTTCTATCCTAACAAGAGCGAGCCGGCTGCTTAATATCATATGTTATACGGACTTCACTCATTCACATACGTTGGGAAGATACCCTTTCATGTACTTGGACCTATTGTCCAATCTTTAGTAATGTTCAATCAAGTCGCTTAATTGAGTACTCCACTGGGTATATAGGCATCAGCAGCTGTCATTAGCGCATCTACAAACTTGGAAAAACACAGAACCAAACCAATACCACGATAACAGCAGACCAGCCTCATAAGCCAGGCCAGCGTGAACGACGGGTAGACATGTCAACCACACAGCCCCCACTCACCAGCACCAGGTACCCGTCCAGGCACGTCTTCAACCGAGAGATTTCTTACTTGGCTGAGCACTGAGCTCTATTCAATTCCGTTTATGCTAGCAATACTCCGTATCAACATGTCAATAGTCCAGTGACTGTACTTTAGACTCTACCTAGTACCCTCACGATAAGTACCTTCCTCCGGAGTAGTACGTTGGCCCGATACAACGGTCTATATCTCCCCCGAGCCGCCAGTCCAAACCCCCTATTGGCCCAGGGGAACCCGACCACGAGCCGTGGCGTAGGACAGCGAATCAGATGACGGGGGTTATGCATCGTGGCTACTCCGTACTTGCGCCTCAATCTCGGGGAAATCGGACATCGACATGGACAGGTGGACTCAGTGGTGTGAGCATCAGTTGATGCTGGACATGTACCTACGAGTATGGAGGTAGGACTAGGATAGATGGAGCTCTGCTCTCGCTGGGGTTGACTATGTGACCATACCGGGGTGAAGTACGGAGTAAAGTAGGTAAGAGTTGCGATGTGAGTAAGATACTTCAAAGTAGGTTCCTATACCCTGTCAGAGATGAATTCATTGGCCAACATCCGAGCAGGTGACACCTTCGGATGGGTCGTCGGATGCCTCAGCCTCAGCCTCAGCTGTTGCATTGCGCGCTGTTTTGCCGAATTGAGAATACCCGTTGCTATCTGACTTTTGATTAATTTTTCCTCCATTCATAGGTACAATAGCCGGTAGAGATTAATTAGTTATAAGAATAGTAGAATAGCCGGCTCGGGCATTCTCCGATGATTCGCCGGTATTCCCTATCGTACCTGGTAGGTAGACTAGAGTAGGTAGGTAGGTAGGTAAGTACCTCCTAGCAGGCTATTCCATGTACTTGGTTGGAACTGTAGCATGTGCTTTCATTAAGGTAGGTATATCACAAGTGCTCGTAGAGAGGCAAGCTTGTACGGAACCATAGGATGAATGTGAGATTGCGGGGTTTATCGGTTCGCTTGTGCCTCGGGTGAGAAGGGCATGGGGGAGAAGAGAGCCAATCATGGACATCGGCTAAGCCCGAAGAGCGGCCACGGGATGAGTAAACTCAGTAAATATGGCCGGTTAAAATCTGTGACCTGGACTTACTGGGAGTGTAGGGTGTAGGGTGTAGGCTCCTGCAGTTGCCGCCCGGGTGCGGAGGAGGCCCCGACTGTCGGTCGGAGGGTAATCCTGCGGAATACCTTTGTACTGAGAGATGTCTTTAGAGAAGAATTAAAAACGGTGTCAATTATGGGTACACATCCGGAAATTGAGGTAGCATTCAGCTGTAACCTTTAATCTCGTGACTGGTCGACACGACAGTACGGAACCTACTCTCCGTACTCTACGAGTACTCTACGACTACTCTAGCTCTATGATTGAACTCTACTCTCCCCGCGGGGAAGCCCAATGCAGGGGCCCAACTCAGGGCCCAGATTTCCGTTAGTCATGAAAAAAGAACCCATCACACGGTCGACGAGTCGGACAACTTCCCAGTCCCAGGGAAGTCTCCAAGTCTCCAAATCTCCAACCCATCCCGACGCGACGAAAATGAAGCCATGCTGAGGTAACGGGTAGAGGATGTCTACCCGAGGTTCTACGGATGGGTGGTAATGTGATTGTGTCGTTTCCCCTCATTTTTTTCTTTTCTTTCGTGGTTCGCCTTCCTTGTGATATACTGACAGAAAAGAAATTCAGGTCGGACAGTGTTACCATATCTACTGGTTCCTCGGAAGTAACCCCGTGTTGAATTCTCCGTAGGCTCCGTGCCATCCCACACCCACAATTACACTGCAGACAGTAGTCTAGTCGCAGCCATCTCAGACACAAGACCGATCGGCACGGGATTGGGCATACTTGTATACCATATCACCAGTTAGACTACCAGAAGAAGAAAAAATGATAGATGAAATAATGAAATAGGATAAATCGTCCGCTAGCTTGATTACTGAATAGATCTATCATAGCCAACAGCCACATGGACACTGGAGACGAATTAACCATTTTACCGTGTAACCGTACGGAAGATGACCGGATGGTGGATGGTGGATGGATTGTTAGGTAATATTACTCCATGGCTGTTCCACCACACTGCTGGTAGCCGGCTTCTTCGGTCCGTCCTGGGTGTGCCGATATGTTTCATTCGACATGGGATAGAGGGTGGAAAAGAAGGAGAGAGATGTGCGTAGGGAAGGAGACAGCATGGATCTACTTTTAAATAGGTTGAGATTTGTAGAATAATATTGAAGTATATTTGTTTTTTGATCGCAAGGCTGCTATCGGTCGGACAGGCGAACTAATGCCCCCCGCGAAAAGAGGCGACTGGGCCTGTTCGCCGTCCCGATGGCTGGACAGCCTGACCGTACGTCTACAACATCTATTTCATTGCAGATTAATCGATGAATTCCAAGGTGAATATATAACTATTAGACTATTAATCTAGAAGCTACTATCTACTATCTACTATCTACTCGACTAAAGTACAGTACTCTGCGTACTTGAGGCTATTGCAGGATCTCGGCACTCGGGAAAGTAACAAGCTGGGGCGCTGCAGTCTCCGGATTAACACCGCCCGCTTAAACCGCCAGACTAAGACCAGACCAGTGTCGGGCCTCCGCAATTTGCTGAAATGCGGATGTTGTAACTTGTCGCTGTTGATTTGATGCTGTCTGTGGGAACTATCCGGGGACTTGTCGCTTTTTTCCTTTTCTTTCTTTTTTTCCTTTCCTTCTGTGGGTGTCGGAGGTCAACGAAACGACAGACACACATTCATCATCTGAATCATTTCCCTCTTGTCTTTTCCTTTCCTCTTTTCTCTCTTCCTCTCCTCTTCCCCCCGTAACTCTTCCTACGGACTATTATTACCTATCTTCTTACTTCCTATACTCCGTCCTCGCGTATCCTGACGAATCCTCCAATCCCGTCTCTACCCGATTTCCTCTCCTTTGTTTCCTTTTCACGTCGCGTTGCCGGTCCGGTGCCCCGACTTCTGTCTGGCATTCCTGCTCCCCCACACTCCGCTTATTCCGTCCGTCGCCCATGTTGAATGGTCCATACTCGCCTTCCTTGCTTCCAGCTTCACTTCCTTGCCTGTCGCACTCGACACTACACCTCTCCCACCTTGACTCGTCGACCATCATTCAGCTTATCCCTATCCTGGTCGCACTTCACTTTACTACGCCTGGTTGATCTATTAACCGGTTTCGTCCTATTATCGCGTTCTATCGGTTGCCAGAGCGTTCTATCTCCAGTGCTGTGCAGCGGAATTTACGTCCCAAAGGTTAGTCACAGTCGCCAGTTGACCATTTGGAAATCCAGATCATAGCTAAATCCATGCGATTCTAGTTGGTTATCGGCGTATTATCTTCCTTCGAGCCGCCGCTCTGGGCCAATTCGAAATCCGCTGAGAGACCGGGGACTTAACGCGAAGCCACAAACGCGGAAGACCCCCCGGCTGATAGCAGACGGTGTCTGCCACGCCTTTCCTAACCTAAATCCGTCTCTTCTACCACGTCACCAACATGCGATCGAGTATAGCTTGCGCTCGGTGCCGACGGAGCAAGATCAAATGCGTCAATGCCGGTATTGACACCACCTGTCGTGCATGCGAGTCGTCCGGTCGAGAATGTGTATATCCCACCCCGGCCATCGGCGTGGGCGGTGGTGCCGCCAAACGAGACATTGCCGCCATGGCCGATGGGGAGGATCGCAACGGCGATTGGGATAGCCCCAAGCGACAGCGCTCCCGCAAGGCCGTCGGCGTGTCCTCGTCTGCGGCCAAAGATGCAGCCAAAGCCTCGCTGGAGGTGCTCGACTCGTCCGTGCTGACCGTCAAGGTCTGGGAGGCCGTCTTTGATCTTTTCCAGTCGCATTACGCCTTCATCCTGCCCTTTCTACATCCCGCCTCCTTCCTCGGTCAGATTCGACAGCTCTCCGGGGGCACATCGTCCAGTAATGTCACCAACTCCGAAAACAACCGAGACGCCGCACAAAGTCCTCCCGCCCCCAAAACCGAACCCAACCCTCTCATTCCTCTCGGAGTTCTGGCGCTCACGGCTCGATTCCATCCCCATCTAGTTGCCTACCATTCGCCCTCCTCCCCCGGCAACCCTTCGAATCCTCTCGTCGCATCCGAATTCTATGCGGCAGCGCTGCGCAGCCGGCTGGCCGGCGTCGATGGCGCCAGTATGGCGATTCCTGACCTCACACGCGTGCAGGCGCTGCTGATGCTCGCCCTCCACGAATGGGGCATGTGCCGGGGCAAGAGCGCCTGGCTATATGTCGGCATGGCGATCCGGCTGTCACAGGCCATGGGACTGCCGTTTGAACTGGAGAATGAGCTCTTCTCTCGCGATGGTCCCCGCTCGCCCGCCTTCAAAGCCGAGGCAGAGCTCTTTGGCGTGCGCCGCGGTCCGGAGCCCAAGGAGCAGACGTCCGACGATGTGATCGCCCAGGAGACGAAGCGGCGGACTTTTTGGGCCTGCTTTATCCTCGACCGCTGCCTCAGCAGCGGCAAATATCGTCCCCGCATGATCCGGGTCAAGGAACTCGGTATCCAGCTGCCCAGCGACAACGCTTTCGCTTTTGGAGAGCGCGTGCGAACGTCGCGGCTGAATGAGCCATCCGCCCGTCGCCCGCAGAGCTTCGGCTCGCAGGGTATGCAAATCCCCAGCATTCGCCAGAGTATCGGGGGCTTCAGCGATGACAAACTGCCCAACAATGTCCCACCGGACAACAAGCCGTGGTCTCCGATCTCCCGGCGAAAGGACTCGAGCGAGGATGAGATCGACCGATGGGAGATTGGGGCGGAGGAGTCGGTGTTGAGCCGGGTGATTCGCATCATTCGGATCTGGGGGAGTATCGCCAAGTGGTCTTGTGCGGGTGGACGAAGGTATGCATCATCCGCCAATCCTCCGTTAGTATCACCCGAAACTAACGTTGACAGAACGGAACAACTTCCTCCCTGGCATATCGACTCCAGGTTTTCGAAACTGCGGACGATGCTGGGTGAGTTCCAGGAAGGACTCTCGCGCAATCTGCAGTACTCACCTCGAAATACCGACACACATATCATGTACAAGAACAAGCTGGCATCCTACACCGTCATGCATGTGGTGTATTTTCTCTCCGTCATTATTCTCCACCGCGCCTACATTCCCTTTCTTCCCGTCCGGTGCAACGAGCCGATCGGTCCCCTGGACGAGCCACTGCTCCCCGGCGAGAGATCAGGGGCACCAGATGGGTTCTGGAGGGACAGTGCGCGTGAGCTGTTCCGGGCCGCCCGACAGATGTTGGACCTGGTGGTAACCTGCCAGGAGCGCGGTGTTCTTGTTGAAAATCCACTGGTCGGGTTTGCCATCTACAATGCGGCCTTTATGGGCGTGTCTGCGTCCCACTTTCCGCACATGGACCTGGAGGGATCGTTGAGCTCCAAGCCCGGTGCAACGGATGGAACGCACGGCCAGGTGCAGACTGGCAAGGCTCTCGACATCTTGCGAGATATGCGGTCTCGCTTGAAGATGGCCAATGGATGGTTCCGCACGCTGAACCGGCTGCACAGCTACTTTTCCAAGGTGAAGCGCGACTTCCGACGCCACTCCCGCCTGGACGCTCTTGATCCGCATACCAACGGAATCCGTCCGGTACGGGAGGGCGGTACCGGCGGCGGCCTTGAGGAGTTCAAGTTGCTTGAAAAGCTGTTCTTCGACTTTGGCAGCATCGAGGACCGGCTGCCCGAGAACAATGCCGACGATGACGGGGCCGACCGGGCGACCAACGTCAGTGATGCGGGTAGCAACGCGGTCCGCAGTGACCCTGGCGAGACAACCGAGCCTACCCTCGATGGTGCCGGCGGCCGGCGCGAGTCGTGGGTCCCCATCAACAGCCCTGGCCTTCCTCTGCCTGGACCGGATGCCGAGCGGCGGCCCAGCCTGCCGTTGCCTCCACGCGCCTTGCAGTCGCAGTCGCCGTATTCGCTCCCGTCGCTGCAGCACCATCCCGATGGCCCTCTCTACGGCACCTCGTCGCCGAGCCTCCCGTCCCTGGCTCCTTCTGCAGGGGCACCCCCGTCGCAATATGGCCAAGTGCCGCCGTCGAACCGTCTCCAGCCATTGAACTCGTGGCTCTCCCGCCAACAAGGGCCGTACTCGCAGTCGCTGCCCCCGATCAACCAGGCAACCTCACATGGCCTGCCACTGCTGCCCCCGCCGGGATCCGTCAACCATGCTGCGGCCTCGCCCCCGGTGACGGTGGACGGATTCGAAGGTGGCGTCTCGAACGTCATGTGGTCGACCAGCCTCGGCGGGGATGACGTTGTCGCGTTCCTGGAGGGATGCGACTATGACCAGCTGTCTAGCATGATGCCATCCGAGGTTGGCATTCCTACTGGATGGTTGAGCACTGTGTGGAGTGAATTCTCACGGTAGTGCCTTCGCCTCATGTTTTTGTTTTTTCTCTCTTATGCTCCTTGGTTGTACTATATTGTACGTCTCATGTACTGTATGATTATGTCTTTCTCTTGCGATGGCGGATCACACTGATGATCTAGCGGGTATGCTTGGGTTTCGGGTAAAAGCCATGGTATGGTATGGCAATTGTGGTATTTCGGAACTGGCGCAAGCGAGTAACTTGTGAGTTTTGTCTGGATTCCGTGAGCGCGGCGTTGGTCTAGTATTGGTAGCAGTTTAGTCTTCAACATATTCATGACCTACCTTTTGACGGAGTAGTTACTCATACTTGTATGCATTACACAGATGATGTATATGAAACACTCGTCGTAGTTTGTCCATATCACCTCGGAACTAATATCAACCATCATCAGCCGCGACAGCTACGCATTCTGATGCCGATTACACCGACCAGCAAGAGGACGCTACTGGATATGTCGTTCAGCATGCAGTCGGACTATCATTTTGCAGTGTATGCGGGCTGGAAGAACGAAGCGGACGATGAGGTGTCAGTCGTGATTGCAGCTTATTATGGACAAGATCAGGCCATATGGGATTGGGGCGTATATAGGCGACTTGGATTTCTCTGTGAGACCTGACCGTTACTGGAAGCAGGAGAATGAGAGTCAATTGAAGAAGATTCGTCGATATGGGATCCTGATGGTCGGCTTGTGGGTTTCCTTGACAAGACATGCGGTATTGTCTGAAGCATTGTCTTAGCTGTGAGTCTCAGAACTGTATTGACCCTCAACCTGCGTATCAGGCCTCCTGGTTGTAGTCCACAAGGATATATAGAGGGAGCAATATCAAGGTGCCCTCTGGATCAAGTGTCGATCTTTGAGACAGTGCTTTCATATACCAGACAAATAACAAGGACAGAGCATATCCTATGTTTTGTTCTTCAAGACAGTTCAATGAACTTGCCAAAACATAACGGAAGTTGCCGGTAATGTCTCTTATTGAGAGGTTGCCATCAATTGCAGTGAATGGCCTCATCCAGTTCTCAGTATAAATGTCACCATCCCCATCATCTCTGATTTCTATCCCTTCATATAACTACATATAAAGCTTCTATGACCAACAGTGCTCCAGCATTTCCTCACTCAAGCTCACCGCTACACAGCACAAAGATGGACGTGGATTACATGGAGCTCCGCAAAGGAGCAATTACAGAGGCTAAGAAGAGTAAGCTTCCGTCAGTTTGTTCTACTATACAGCAGCGCATTACTGACCACCCCAATCAGCCACCCTAACAGGCAAACTAACCATGACCGACCTCAGCGTCGTCAAACTCATGGACGTAATCCGCAAGGCCGACTGGAATTCCAACTGGGAAGCGCAAGAGCAAGGGCAAGAGCAAGGGCAAACACCAGTCATCCGACCTCTCGAAACAACCGCACACTCCTCCGCGTTACTCCTCCAGGAACGAGGCATCAAGCCACAATCCGCATGCGACCTGTGCATAAAGACCAAGAACAAACCGTTCCAATCGTGCGTTTGCGCGCCGGCATTCCGCCGCCATGCGCTTCGCCTCGGGGCCTGCGCGAACTGTATCTGGCATGGGCGTGAGGCGCATTGCTCGCTGCGGGAGGATTTTGTGGCAGCTGGGGGGAAGAAATGGATGTATACGTTGGATCTGTAGGTTCCTACCTGCGTTCATATTGTCTTGCAAGCTGCTGAAGCTTAGCTTATAGGATTGTTCTCCATGGAGGAGGGTTGTTGTTTAGCGAGGGGATCGGACGTCGTCTCCAGGGGCTGCCTGGGCCTGTTACTCGCCAAGCTATGTCGCGCACGCCAACTGCCAGCAAGGCTACTTCATCCAAACCTGCACTTGCACCTGCACCTGCACCTACCACGGGACGACAGCAACAGCGACAGCGACAGCCTCCGCTCACTAAATCGAAGGTAGAAATGAAATCGTCTCGCCGTCTGGCTGGCAACATTTCCACTAGTATCCTGGGAAAGCGATCCGCATCTGCATCTTCTTCAACCGAGCCTGAGTCTGAGCCTGAGCCCCGAAACAAAAGAACTCGCCATGCTAAAGACTGCGACGGCAAACTCGTGCCCTGGCCATGCACCACCTCATCTTGGAATGATCCCGATGCTTTAAAGACCATTTATTCCGACCTTCGGCGTCATATGTGTGCTGTCAAAAGGCGGATTGCGGAGTTGGATAAGTCCGTTCCCTAGGGACGGAGTAGGTCAGATGAGTTGGTTGGAGGAAGATTAGGGCTAGGCTCTGGGTATGGTTCTACTTTCATGTTCGGAAAACAGGCGTTATGGATTTATTGTTGTTTGGAAATATGTTCAGACAGCCATGTATCTAAGCAAGACTGATTTTGGGACATTGGGCTTAGGTTGAGGTTATCATGGACAGGAATTGGAGACGTTTAATTCTTAGTTCGGGGGATATCGTGGTTACCGGCTTATTCAACCGGTCGTTGAATTAGGGTTACTGTCACGCTTGGCTCAGGATCAATACTCCAAGTATCCACAGAATCTATAAGTACATCTGGATAATAATCGTTCTTGTTAATGCTTGATTATATATTTAATTTCATTGGCAGCTCGATCAATCAATGACATCAACCTCGTATTCCTTCTTGGCTTGAGTCATCCTCTTCCAGCATATATATCACGTAGACTATCTAACCGAGCAACTCAACCACCATCTCCTCAACCACCATCGGACATCTATATATTGTATAAGTACATAAGAAAATGCCCAAAGTAGCCATCGCAGGAGGCTCCAGCCCAACACTGGGCGCATCCATCCTCGCCGCCCTCTCCAATACGCACAACTGGACCCCCGTCATCCTCTCCCGACAAACCAACAACCCCAAACCTTCACCCGAAGGCACCGAAACCCGCTACGTGGACTATACATCCCATGAATCTCTCGTCGCCGCACTCAAGGACATCGACACAGTTCTCAGCGTCGTGCTCGTTCCCGGCCCGGAATCAATCACCTACCAGCTGAACCTCCTCAACGCAGCGATAGAAGCAGGCTGTCGGCGGTTCGCGCCGTCAGAGTTTGCCCTCTGCGAGCAAACCCAGGCGCAGGTTGATCTGTTACAGCCGAAGAATGTCGTCTGGGAGGCGGTCAAGCGCAAGGTGGAGGGAAAACAAATCGACGCAGCGCGGTTCCCGTGCGGCATGTTCATGAATTACCTGGGGATTGGGATCGGGGGCGAGAAAGAAAAGGAGGCGCGGGCTGGGTTTGCCGAGGGGGCGTTCCTCGTGCACTTGGATGCTGAGCCGGCGTATGTGGTTGTTCCTGTGAGAGAAGATGGATCGTCGCCGAGGCTCACGTTGACGGATATCCGGGACGTGGGGAGGTTTGTGGCTGCTGCGCTGGAGATGGAGGAGTGGGGTGGAAGGGAGCTGGGGATGGCGGGTGATACCGTCAACTTCGATGAATTGGTTAGGCTTTGTGGGAGGTATACCGGCAAGAAGGTTGAGGTGCGCCGGGTGACGGTCCAGCAGCTGGAAGACAGATTAAAGGAGATTCCTGAAGAAGATGTGCTCAAGCGGATGGACTGCCAGATAGCCATGGCTTGCGCGAGAGACGGCTCGGTGGTGCCGGGGGTCTTGAATGAGGTGTGCCAAGTTCAGCCGGTAAAGGTGGAGGAATTCCTGCGCAAGTACTGGGCATAATAGTCAGAGGAAAGAGTAGTAGTGTTCATTTGCAAGAATGTTGACCAGACATGTCATCTCTAGACTAAGTACATGGTCTAGTGGGGTTGTGTTCCAATATCATCCCTCCGATAAGAGGTGATATGTGAAGCCTCCAACACATTGAGGGAGACTACAGATGACCCACAGGCTTTCTTCAGGGTATAGCACTTGAAACTCGACTGACTCCCCAACACTTGAGGATGAGCCGGTACTGGTCACCGTCTGGAGCTATCCAAGCACAAAGCAGACATCCTGCAGTCTTGTTTGAGCCCAAGTTCTTTTTTCCCCGTTTCTCTTCTCATCAGTATCCGGTGTACTCTCCGTTTTATCTCCCCCAATTACTTTTCTCTTGAATTCTCTTCCCAAGTGTGTTCTCTCTGCTTTCTCCTCACTTCTCTCCGACCCTTGTCCAGTCTTTGTATTACACGTCTATCTGTGTCGCTTTACTTGGTTCCTCTATTCTACCTCTCACTTCTGCACGCAAAATGCCATCGAGAGCGAAGCGTCAGCATAAGAAGAGCAAGAAGCAACGCGACAGGAGCAGGAAAGCGTCAGAGCACGACAGGAGCCAGAAGCACTCAGATGGCGAGAAGATTTGGTCGATCCCCGATTTTTGGATCCCGCCGAGCAAAAAGGAGCTAGAGAGCTTACGAAGATGGGAAGAGTGCCTCAGATAGATGACCTGGAGCAGGGTGCCTTTGCGTCGGGTAGCCAGATCAATCAGATGCAATTCGCTGCCCTCCGGATCGTCTTCAAGCGGGTGGAGGAACCCGAGGAGTTGGTCTGCACTGTCAGTGGCATGCACGATCGCGAGCGGGATTTCAGTGTCAGTCCCAAAGACACGGAGCACCACCAGGCCCAGGAACCTCAAGCAAGGCTTGAGGGATGAAAGCCAATCGCCCACAGGCGTTTCCGCCGGAAATGACGGATATCCTTCGTCCGAGGACGAAAGGATTAGCCCGCACAACTACCGGACGCAGAAGATGAAATCGTGCCAAATGCTGCCCTTATCTTGTATCTACAAGAAGTCCTCGACATCGTTCCTGACAATGGGATGGAGTGGGTGTTTAACCGTGCCCACTTTACCGTCACCTTCAGAAAAGGAAAGTATATGGCCTTCACAGGTGAGGCATTACGCTCCATGAAAGGTCAAGAAATCATGAGCTTCGTTGAAGTGAAGAAGCGGATGAGGCAAGTACGTCAAGATGCCTCCTCATGCAAGAGGGTTCGGAGATGGTTGACTTGAGGTTGGATGAGAAGTGAAAACTAGACATCAGTAAATGATGTATTTAGGAGTGCCTTCTGAACAAGGAAGAACATAAGTAGCGGGACATGGTGTTTATGCAACGAGCAGATAAAGGTCTTACCGATCTAATACAGCAGATCTCTCCCCCCCTTCATGACTTCCCACTGTACAAGTCTCGCAGGAGAACTTTATAGATTAGAGGTTTCTATGATGCTTATTATCTTGAACTTAGGTCTTGGGAAAGTCCGAGTCCTCACCTGCACACAAAGAGTTCAGCCCTTTAAATAATTCTCCGATTATATGATCGTATACTGAAGGCCTTCTGTTAGGATTAATAGACAGAGATTGTATCTAATAATTAAAACTGTTATGGTATCACTGTTAATAAGATGCGGACGCTCCAGAACCTGCCATGAAATTCAACAGTAGAGGCAATCAGACCAACAACATCTCAGTCAGATCACTTACTAGAACATGCAACACCAAATAATAAGTAGTAATTTGCAAACAATAGGTGAGAATAGCAAAAAGAAAAGAGAAGCAAAACGGATCAGAAAGGGGGGAGTACTCCACCCCCTCTCTGAGCCGCCCAGGCCCTGCCCGTCTAAGAATATTCGTAAAGGTAAGAATATTCGTCACCGGGCAACGAGCAGGGCCCGTCTCGAACCCGGACCAGCAGTGCAGTTGGGCTACTGCAGTTTAGCCCGCTGCACCACCGGTCCGGGTTGGTTGACAGTATGATATAATGGGGAGTCATCTGCTGCGAAGTGGTGGCCTAAAAGGGAAGTGAATGGGCAGATGCCTGGGGGTTAAGGCATCGTTTGCGAGGCAGAGACAGGCAGTCGCGACTGCCTCCGTTGCATCAGGACTTTGGCTAGCAGAAGGTGCGTAGGACTTGCCAACTCCACCGCTGAAGTGAAGAACCGAACCTGGCAACGAGGTAGGTGTGTGTTATTGTCATCTTAATGATGCTCTCGCTGAGTCTTTCTCTATATGCCCTCTGTTCTTTTTTTGATTCCAGGTCAGACAGCTATAGAGCTCGCTTCTCATCTGTGACTACGACGAGAATCCGGCCATCGACGTCCTACACCTTAACACACAAAGCACCAACTCCATTGAACGAACAGCACTTACTACTACTATCAATCATCTGGGTTATAAGGATGACACTCGTGTTTCTGCTGCCTATCCATCGCCTATTTGAGGCGTACCTGAGCGCAAGGGCAAGGGAATCTCTTGACCATGCTACATGCATTGCGACTATGTTGCACGAGCTTGAAAACGCGGAGAAGGGATTAGACCAGCTGCAAGGTCTTCTGGGACGCAGACGACAACTTGTCATGCAGACTCATGATAAGGTGCCGAGGATTGCAGAGCTAAGCGAGATGCATGTGTCTTAATGTAAGGAGATACTAGAGCTCGGACGGAGAATCATCCACACACATGATATGGCGCTTTCGATATCTCCAGAGATAAGGGAGCTGCATACGGCTCATTGTATGATGACGCTGCAATGACGCCGGATATACGTTTGCGAAGAAGAGTCGCAGACGGCTGCTAAGAAGGAGTCGTTGTCAGGAGCTCGAGAAGGCAGGATCACTACACGACAATGCAGAAGGTGTTTGGCTCCATCTGATAACCACAGAGCTTGCTATACTGAGCACTTGCTTCTTGGTGCGACTCAGTCAACAATGGAACGTCGTGCTCTCTGATATCTCTGCATCGATCTCAACTATGAGCACAGTGTTCGAACTTGAAGAAGCCATTGATATAGAACTCCAACGCGCCGCAAGTCTGAAGACGAATCTAATCTAAACGCGACAACTCATATCACCGAGTCGTAGGACCCATCCATGCTTCCTCAGTTCCTCTTCCAGCCTACGAGAGATCTAGTACCCTACACTAGATCAAACACACGGATGGTTTCTCATGCCGCATCCGCCTGAGGACATCACAGCTTGACCAACATTTGTAATGACCGTATTCCTCAGCTGCGGTGAAGGTAGCCAACCTCACCATTACATCCCAAGAACCCGGGTAAACCATGGCTGGATAGAAGAACATATAAGATTTACTAGTGTGATCAGTAAATAACACCTCAACTGAAAGACAAGTCTCTTACGGCCGTCACACGGCCACGCACAAGTCCCTTGCAACCAGCTACCCAAAGGTTTCACCTCCCTGGACCAGTATATCACCCGCAAACAGTGAATAATTCCACAAGACGTACCCTCCTAGATCACAGGACGCATATCAAACCAAAAGTGGTCATGGTATTATCGACAAGGCCTTTGCGGTCATATTGGGGTAGTTGAAAGCCAAGGTGGTCCCGTAGCATCGTCCACGCAGATGAGTTCTATGAGAAGGGAAGTACATGTATTCGGGCGTGGATCTCAGGATAAGTTGCACAGAGATGAGACGCTCCGGTCATATTCAGCTGTCGCATACGGATTGTCCCTGAGATACGTGATTTGATCGGCGTAGCTTATAGTTCCTTCAGCTTATACGACCATAATGATAGCTCAGATAGGACGTTTCATTATTGACCGAAAGCTACTAGGCGTAGTATGTACCCTGCATTCTTGCCGGTACCCTCAAATCTGAACCGTTGGTTCTATTGAGAGTGCCTTCGTCATGGCGCACGCAGCCGAATCAGGTAGACAGGAAGACATACAATGATGTCTCATCCTTTGTCTGCTCAAACATGTGTACCGCATGATTGTAGGCTCAGAAGGATTCTTAGTGATAGAGCACCTGTGAATGACTGTATACCTTCAACCCAAACGTTGAAGAAAAAGCTGTACAGAATCTTCCGGCATGCACCGCAGAATGCACCATCGGCTGACGACTAATCGCCCAGCCCTGACCCTACGACGACTAATCGACGCAGTGAAAGGGCACACGATCAAGAGAAATGTATCCTGCTTTATTCAAAATTCTTTTCTCTGCAAAGAGAGAAGCCAGACACAAACACAGCTGAAATACAACACCTCTACCTTACTTCTTGGATGGTTCTGCCTTTCGTCTTCTAGCCACTTGGAGATCAGACGCTTGGATATCTCTTCCCCCTGAGACAAGAAAAGGATAGAGATTACCAAGATGGTTTACTTTCCCTCTGAGGTCGTGGACATGATCATGTCTCATGTTGATCCCGAAGACTTCTATACCCTCTTGCAGTGTGCGCTCGTCAATCGCCAGTGGTCCAGATCCGCTCTTCGTGCTTTGTACCGGTAGGTGCTTGCATCAAGATAGGAGATTATCCGCGGTTGCTAACAGGAATAGCGCTGAGGCCCTCTTCCCGGGTGTCCACAGAGCGTCTGCATACGAACACTCCAGGATTGTAAGATGCATAGTAGCAGGATAGCTGAGTCGTATGCTGACAGAGACATAGTCCATAAGACCACTTACGTGGGCCAATTTTTGGTGGACTTTGATCGTATCTGCTTTCACCTTCGAGACTTATCTCCCCTACGCCGCATTGCTTCAGACGCTCGACTTGTGCGATCTCGCGCTTTTGATTCATCTCGATAAAGACTTTGCCGAGTAAGTGGCTTATGCTCGTCTTGCTCAAGCGATCGCTGCTAATATTGGAGTAGCAAGTTGCGGTATGGTCGCTTCGCGTTCGAGCTCAAAATCATTTGTCTCGAAAATTATTGCAACATCTGTGCTGCCGTCGGTTGGGGTAAGTGTTCGATGACAGTCGACGTGACCGTGGGTGCTGATCGACCCAAGTCATTTTAGGTGTAAACTCTGGAATCACCAGGTTGGTCTGTGATAGTTGCCCGGACACCTGGGACAATGAGGAGGAAAGAGATCGTTATCTTGGAGTTTCTTCGTCCGTTCTCGACTGGTGGGCCCCTCGTCTGATCCGTCTCGAGACTCTGTGGTACAATATGGGAAAGCATCTGCATGTGGACAATGCGCGTAGCATCGCACGCCATTGCCCCCGGTTCAAGAACCTGATGGTGTGGGAATGGATGGAATTCACCATTAGTAGTGCCAGGTTTGTTTACGATGACTCCGACAGTGAGACAGAAGAGGAAGAGACGTCGGCTGGAGATTTCCTCATGGCTCTACGGCGCAATACCTTGGAACGGTTCGAGATCTCTCGTGATTCGCACTTCAAGCCTTCCATGGTCAAGGGCCTGATTGCTCATTCCCAATCCATGCGTGTGTTGAGATTGCCCAAGTTCCGGTCGGAGCTGGTGACCGAACTCATGAAATCGAATCCCTTGCAGTCCCTTGAAGCCATCAACTTTTTCCTCGGTTACGAGAAACGCGTTGAGCTAGCTCAGCCGTTCGGAAAGTGGCTCGGTGCTTGCCGAAACTTGCGTCGGATCGAGACTTGGCTTTACCATGACGAACTGTTGATGCTAGCGAATGCCCTCAAACACGGCATCGCCTCTTTGGAAGTTCTCATCGTCCAGCAAAATTACGAGGATGATCCCAGGATCATCGACGCCTTCTACCGCGGTATCTCGCGTCAGCGAAACATGCAGGAGCTCACCCTGAACACAGAGATGACGAGCGACAAGAGTCTATTCATGTGGTGCCTGTTCCCTTTAAAGAAGCTCCGCAAACTAAATCTCCGCAGAATGTCGTCCCAGCTCACGTTGCCCGACATTAGAACTCTTACCTCCAGC